GGAGTAAAAGAAGCCATTTTTGTGAAGAAAGACCGTCCATCATTAAACAGAGGTGGAGGCTTCCGTTTTCAGTTGTCCCAACTGAAATGAAATGAATGAAATGATTTATAAAGGTCAATCAGGAAAATTAACAAGGCTGCCCAAACTTTTGCAGCCCACTGTATCAGGCACAAACATGCTGCCACACGTCTGCAGTGAATCATGTTTAATAGGGAGAAGCTAACCAATGAAAAACTAACAGTACATGTAATTTTATGAAGAAATCTAGTCCTGATGAATTCACACTGACAGCCTGCCCCTTCATGATGCCACGCTCATACCACAGTGGTCAATCTTCTGAAGTGTGCATGGTGCTTTTAGCTAGAGCGCATTCAGTTATTCATGAGATATTTTACCAACAGACACAAAAAACACACAATATTGCAAAATAACCCTTTATGTAAGAAATAGGCAGGTGGAGATTCTCACATCCTTTGCTCTTAGGTTTGAGAAAAACATGTAGCAATTGTGGAAAAAGTCGACACATTCATTTTATTTTGAAACATATTCCTAAGAAATAAAGTTATTTGTACAAGAAAATCTTTAAAAATAATAGGATAATCGCATTTCTGCTGAAACATTTTTATGTTAAACATCAGCTGCAATCCTGTGTTTTGTCAGGATCATCGGGAAGTTCACTACTCTGTGTTCACAGCTTCTGTTGAACTTCTATCTGGAATGCCAACAAGAAAAACAATTTCATGAAGTCATGTCCTTTACACAATCTTCTCAGCACAGTCCTGAGATCATGGTGGTCAAAGTAGAAGCCGTGCTGAGAGCAGGAGAGATAGGGCTCAGGAATGTTTTCAGACGGTTTGGGTTTGTGGAAAAGGTTTTAGATTTAGGACGAAGCAGCTGCGCTGCGGTTAGTCAGGTTTTCAGGAAAGGTTTCAAGGAGAGACGACCTGCGTGCTTCACATAGACGTTGCCATCCTCCAGCTTTACTTCATAAACTTGTTGCTGTTAAAATGAAATCACAGAATGAAAGGCTGTAAGTGCACAGTAAAAACCAGAGTGTTAAAATGTCAGTGTTAAACTTTTCAGAATCAATTTAACTCCCCCAGTGTCTTTTTAACACTTTCTGAGTAAACTGACTTACAGTGTTGGCGTTAATTCACAGTGTTGTCTCAACACTGGACAGAGTTAAAAAAGGCTCTGCCCACAGTTAAGTGTTATTTAACACATAACAGTGTTATCATATGACACCATGCAGTGTTGAAAAAAGCATTTAGAAAAAGCCCCGCCCTCTTCCACCTCATGTCAGACAGATCAGTATTTTCACATGAAGAAATGCTGGGGATCTTGTAGAAATTATGTTTTTCCATGTTTATGACTATTAAAGAAGTTCACAAGCGTAAAAATTTGTTCTAATTAGTTGTTTTGTTCAGGTTTATCAGTTGATCAACTTTATGTTTGTGTTATTGGCCGTAAATCAAGAACACGAGTGAGAGGTACTTCCTGGTGTATGAAGGTCGACTCCATTACAYTTATCCTGAAACTACTGTGTAATGTTAATGCAACACTATAATGAGTTGATCCTAACTCTAAAGTGTTTAATTTACACTTTCAAATTTACTGTGTAATACCTCATAGTGTCTGTTTTACACCCCTCTACACAGCAAAAGAGTAAATAATCAACACAGTAAAGTGTCAAATTAACACTCGTAGGAGGAATATGAACCTCCAGTGTTAACCATCGATAACTCAATGCAGTGCTGAAAAGCATGAGAATCAAAGCTGATTTGTCACCACAGTGGAGTACCTTATTAACTCTGCTTAGAATCATAATTACTCTCATCAGAGATATTTGACTTGAAGTGTTAGGTTTTATTAACATTGTACAGTGTTAATCAGTGTTAATTTTTAACACTGTGTAGAGTGAAATTGTACTCTGAAAATTTAACACTATRGAAAGTGTTAAAGTGACACAATTCTGATAAGGACCAAATAGATTTGAACACAGTGTTAAATTGAACTCTTTAAGTGTTGATTTAACACTGCAAATTTTACTGTGAAAAGAATATGGCTTAAATTTGCTGAAACTGCAAAATAATCACATAGGAGGTATGATCAAATGCATCTTCATTTGAAAAAATTCTGAATTATCTATCATCTTAATTATGACAACACAGTGACAAATACTGCAGCTGACAGCCTGAACTCCCTGCATCTTACAGTAATCTAAAAGTTATTTTAAATTTTGAGTGATGTTAGCTCACTCATGCAACCCTCATGTAAATAAATTGTGACTAAAACATTTTACAATTTGATTTTTTTCCTTTTTAATTAAAAGAAAATAATTGTGTTTTATAGTGTATTTAATTTTAAACAGAGGATGCTTTATGAGAACATTTAAGCCTTTTTAATTTAGTTTTTTTTGTGACAACATAAAGCAATGAGCACATGCCGCAGGTCTACTCCATCACTCACCTTTAATGATGTCCCAGACTTCCCAGTTCTGAGGTCAAAGTTATAGTCGTGCCAGGGACAGAAGACCTGCAGGACTCCATCAGCCTCCTCAATGTCCCCCTCACACAGAGGACCACCTGGGAGGAGGGGTCCACACAGGAAACAATTAATCATAGTGTCTTGTCAGCACAGTTACCAACAGCTGGGATCACCAACAAAATTCAGCAGAATCAGTGAGGGCCAGGTTTTGTAG